CCCCGGAGGGTCTGCTCAGCATCTGCCCTGCTCTCAGCTGGTTTAGATCTCAGGCCTACTAAGTAAAGCAATAAACAAGTCACAAGCTGTTGCAACTGACTGGGCAGCTTGTTATACTGGATGTGCCTACAACCAAGGAAAAACAGTACCAGGTATCAGGATGAGGACATACAGGTACGCAACACACTCTCAGATTGATTTGTTAGTAGAAACTTGGAGAAAGGTAACTTAAGAAATTGTAATTATCTAGTAGTTTCCAGTGAGCCCCACGTGGCTAGGGATTGTAATTTCCCTTGTGTGACAAGATGCTGTGGCAATGAATGTCAGACACGTGACCCCAGTGTGCTATCCAAGCTGTTGCAGCAGCTGGGTGCACAGAATTTGCTAGTGGCCATGGGCGCTTTGTTGTGTTTGCCATTTTCCGCTGGCCTTTAGTATGTCCCACAATGGCTCAGCATGACCTTCATTTGACACCCATGGTCAGCACTTCCTCAATGAACCATCGTGACTGTGAGAGCTGTCTTTACCTCAGATTTGGGTTTGTACTAGCAGTGGGTTTGTACGAGGCTCTTCAGTATCTGTACTTAAATGAAGTAAAAGCCTTGAAGAAAAATCAAACATGGCTGACATGCGGTGATCTGGCTATTATTTGGTGAAGATAAATGGGTGAGAGGGCCATAAAGGAAGCAACAGGAGACAGGCACCATCCTGCAGCATGAGGAAGAGGACACTCCGTCCTGTGCACCTGGCATGAAGGCAGCTGTCCCCGAGCCAGCGGCGACCCACGGCAGGGAGAGTCACCTTCGCTGCACACCCGGGGCAGCGCTCAGCCTCCTGAGTGTGCTCCTGGAGCTTCAGGGTGTGTAGGCACATGGCTCAGTGACTGGAACAGTTCTACCTCAACTTGAGACAGGGGAAGCATGGTAGACCTCCCTGAAATTCCTGGGAGCTCCCTTTGTCATCAGGAAAGGACTTGGCTTAGGCAAGGCCCAAGCCTCAGAATTCAGTTAGGGAGACAATCCCTAACAATAACACAAACCCACAGGAACTAATGACGTACATTAATAGAAAGTCACCCTCCCAGTGATGCATCTCTACCATCGTCTTAGCCTTTTTTTTTTTGTCAGTCATGGGGCTTGAACTCTGGGCCTGGGCTCTGTCCCTTAGCTCTTCAGCTTAAGACTAGCGCTCTACCACTTGACCCACAGAGCCACTTCCAGTTTTCTGAGTGGTTTATTGGAGCTAAGTCTCACAGCCTTTCCTGCTTGGGCTGGCTTTGAACCTCTACCCCGGCTTAGCCAGTCTTCTTTTGGCCAGCATGTAACTCATATTCACCTTAAGATTTTCTTCGGTGTTCAGAGCTACAAGATTTAAACATTTGCTGTTTCACACAGTTAAAAACTTCCATTTCTCTACAAAGCCATACTTGATGACATCCTGCTTATAGCTCTTCTTGCTCTCTCAGTCTTGGTATTGGACCTTTTTTTTTTAAATCTTAATTTTATTGTCAAGATGGTGTACAGAGGGTTATAGTTACATAAGGTAATGAGGACATTTCTTGTCTAACTGGTTACCCCCTCCCTCATTTTTTCTCTTTTTCCCTCCTTCCCTAAACTGTACAGATCATTTCCAACATACTGTCTTGTAATCACTGCTGTGCAAGGCAGACTGCTGGGCTCAGCCCCAGAAAATGAACTGGTTGGTCTCAGCTGTGAGTCAACAAATTTGCATTTCTATTGAGTTTTCCAGAGAATGGTGATGGTGCTGGCCCAGGAATCCCTTATCTTAAATAGTAACTCAATTACAAATCCTTATGGCAATCTAATAAAACGAGTTGCTTCACAGTCCAGTGACAGCTGTTTTAGTACCAGAAACAATTCCATCTACGCTTACTCTTTTAGAGCTATGACGTCCTCCACACCAATGATTTACTCTTCAACTGCTATGTCCAGAAAGCTCTGTTCCCCTTTTTACAACACACTTAATAGATGCAATCATCTTCTTTATAAACTCTGATTCTTAAATTGAGAATGTTAGCTGGAAAAAAAAAAAATTCCTGAGATGATGAGGTACAGCCACACAGGTGTTTTGACAACATGGAAGTTCTGAAAGACAGCCTTTGCTGTATCTTAGCATCTACCTAGGTTTTCTTCTATTGGTAATATACTATTTCAAAAGTAAAGTCTTCTGGTTATTGACAAGATTAAAATCAAAATCAAACTAATTTCACCCATCTTGTGAAATTATATAATCTGGTTCAGTTCTGAGGCTCAAAGTAGCTACCTGAAAAGCATACCCTAAAAAGCGCTAGTGGTCATGGACTTGGGAAATGTAGGTCCCAGGAAATAAGCAACCCCAAAAGACAAGGAGAGGATGAAGAGCTGAGCAAGCTCTGCCTGTGGAGAGGATGAGGAGCTGAGCAAGCTCTGCCTGTGGCATCTGTTGCTAAGTCTGCAAGCTTTTGGCCACACCTCACCTGTTTCCCAGTCAACCAGACAACATTTACACCAGGCCAATTTGTATCAGGAGACTGACACCAAGAAAAGCCTTCAAATGACTAGTATGGTTTTCAAAATTTCATCTTTACTATGTTCCTTCTCCCTCCTTTTTTTTCTTATCAAGTTTGATAATTTAGATGAATTAAAAGTTCCAGCTAACTGTAGAGAAGACTGAAAAAGAAAAGTGACAGGGAGAAAGATACTGCTGACATGTTAGCTGTAGCACAATTCAAGTTTATTCCATTTGTTCTTGCAACACAAAACTTAAACACAGTATTATTTAGCATTCGGATGTACATGAACTAGGATACTTATGAGAAACTCAATTGTGTCAAAAGTATGACAATATGGAAAAAAACTGAAATATATCAAAATGCACAAAGCACTAGTCTTCCTGTTACTGCTTAGAAAGATATGATTGTTCCTCCATTTACAAAATAGAATCAGAACGATTTAAATTTTTAAAATTTTGCATGCAAAACACTGCAAACTGCTCATTTATGTAGGAGGGCACTCTTACCAGCTTCTATACACAGTTGAGTATACAATATTGCATGGATGGAAACAGCAGCTCAGGTGAAGTTAAAAACAAAAATCTATGATTAAGTACATATAAATTTTAAATCTATTACCTGGGGACAGAAATCAATTTTTGTGGCTTTCACACACTGCACTTCCCTCCTACTCCTCTGTGCCGGCCAGGCTAGGTCTAGCAGGTGAGTGGAGCACAGCAGAACTATATGGGTAACTAACTGGGTGTGGTATTAGGACTCTGCAGATCCCAGTCTGAAACTGCAGAGGGGTGTGTTAGTACTACCGGAAACCGGCAAACTGCCTGTTTGTACTTGCTACAGTGCATACAAAATGATTTAATACTATACTACAGAACATGCAAATTTTATTTATTTTTCTGAGATGTTAAATAGTAATTCAGTGAAGAACAAAACAAAACCTTTTGCTGATGCATGTAGTACCAAAAAGCAGATCGGGTTCTTAGCTTCCTTTACTCAAAGTGTTTATGGATTTATCTGCCAAGTGGTTCTGAAATACAATATAAATAACCTAGTTAAAAAACAACAACACTGTAAACCACCTTGGTCAGCCTATTCTACAGGTTGTTTGCTCAAGCAACTGCTTCATAGTTATGGAGTATACAAAATAGCCAAGAAAGAAGGCAAAATAGCCTCTACTGCATTACATGGAACATGAGTATAGGGAGAATCACGTGGTTTTGATACCAGAATGACTGCAGGACACAGAGCAGTTCAGGAATGAAAGGACAGTGCACTCTCTGTAGCAGCCACTGCAACACTACACTGGAAAGAGAGGTGAAAACTGTGGAAAGTTCAGGCATTTTAAATAGCATTATACCAAGAGGTGGAAACAAGGATATCAAAACACTCTGGTGCACTATTTTTGATAGTTACAGAGTGTGCCCTCCATTTCTAATCAGGATGTTCAGTTAAGACAGCAGGAATTAGCCAAATATATCAAAGTATTTAAACCATTGTTTTGTGATTGTTTTCTTGAACATAGGAAAAATACAGGGCTTAGTTGAAAGGCCACAGGATAAAAAAGGAGTCATGGGGAAACACACACACACACACACACACACACACACACACAAACACACACACACAATCAGCAACTGATCAATAAAACTTACTACCCAGGCTGACTGCTCTCGATAATAGTTTAACCCTGCTGTAGAATGCTACATTGCCTTAAAAATATCATTAATTTTATTATCCATAATCTAAATATAAGTCCCTAGCCCACCCCTACCCCTTTAAAAATTTGAGGTACATTCAATTATTATTGCATTAGTTGCCTAAGGGAAATCCCTACTATTTCTAGTAAGCTTATATGGATGGCAAAGCAAAGAGATCTTAATATTCGAAATGCAATATACCAAATCTAAGACTGTATGTTTTAATTAGTTTTACTACTTTAGTATTTGGAGATGTGTCTAAATTTTCTGCAGGTCCCAAGAACACCATTTTAGGGCACTGTATTTTAAGAACACAGAATTGATTATGAAGTTGTTACTCTTTATACAATTCACGATTCATGAAACAAAAAAAAGTCTATTGTTCATAAACGATACAAAGCATATTATGTAGGTGGATTGGCATATATGCAGCAGAAGCCTAGCAACAACTCAGGGAAACCTGGTGACAAGAACATTTTTAAAGAGATGGGGTTACATTTATCCAAACAATAAACCTCACCCCCGTGATAGCTTTGGTGCATTAAGTAATCGGAGTCCAAGAAGGGTCTAAGAGAGACATTCCAAAGAATGTTTCTTGATTCTCCAAACATAATTTGAGGCCGAGTCACTCAAAAAGCAGATGAAGAGAATTCATAGGTACTAAGACAACTGTTCTGTTTTTATATGACACTAACCTACTTATGGCTATTATGGTTCTATTTTAGACAAGGAGTTTTTTGTTTTGTTTTCTTGCAGTGCAAGGGACTGAACCTAGGGCCTTACTTATGCTAGGACAGCGCTCTACCACTGAACTACATCCCCAACCTGATTCTATTATTAAACCTCCTTTTACTACCAGCAGGAATATGAAAGTGTTTTAAATGTTACATAAATGTCTATGTCTGAACCTACAGGAGAAAAAAATTATGCATACTGAAATGATTCCTCCTTCAGACGTCTAAAATTTAAGGTATTATAAATAAAACTAGTCAGTTTTATCTAGAGACATGAAATCCATGTGAAAGGGGAGAGAAAATCCAAAATTCAATCATCCAGTAATTTGGGATTATGCCCCTCCTCACTTAACCCAGCTTTCACATAGAGCTGAAAGTCTCTGAGGAGAGGTTTGGTCACCAACCACAGGCAGCGCTCTTAACTAGCCAGGATCCCCAGGAGAGTGCACTCTTAAGGCAGAAGGCTGTAGCTAATTGCTTATCTCAGCACCCTAAGTTTACATCACAGCAGCCACGACTGCTTGCAGCTATGGCTACCAAGTAAGTGGAATTGGCCTTTGTATAACTAGACCTTCAACACAATCTAATTAATAAATTAGCTAGGGAGCTGTAAGGGTCAAATGAGCCTGGAATGCTCTGTCTTGGCTCTCCCTTGGGCATGAGTTGTATATTTTGTTAGAAATGGAAAAGAGGTTGGCTCGATCAGGAATCCCAGTAAAAGCCCGATCATTTTCCCCCCTCCTCCAAGACATGTTTTGTTTTGTTTTTTTTTTCTGGTAGTTTGATTTGTTATGAATTTCTCTCTCCCCTCACCACTCTCGAAAGTATTTAGCTGAAGAAGCTGGCAGATAGAGTGACAGACAGACAGGCAGCAGTGTGAGGCCACAGGAGAGTCATTCGTCCTGAGTTATCAGTCCATCCATTCATCACTGGAGAAGAGCTTTGATTGCCTGGTTGTCAGTGGCTTCAAGGGCCGTCAGTCCATCTGGACCTTTCACAGATTTATCAGCACCCTGGAAAAGAGAGGAAAGGGCTCCATTAATGAATTCCATGGGTAGAAGACCGATCAGGAGGTCTTGTGACACAGGTTGATGTTTACACTGAGAACTTAAACTACAGTGACCCATCTGTATTAGTCTTTAACCACCCACCTACCCCTGCCCCCACCGTAATGGTTTTTGTGGCTCTCACTACACCATTTTTATGCGCTTCTCTAATATTCATCCTTGTTACCCTCTTTTCTATCTTTCAAACCCACTCTTTCCTGACACCAAATAGTTCCCCCTTTTATAATCTTCACGTAAGCATCTTAATGCAAAGCTTTCTGTGTTTTCACTTCTTATATCATATGCTTCAGCCTGCACACATCTGTTTGAGTGACTGCAAACACAAGTCTGATTACCTTCTTAAAAGCAATGAACTGCAGCCTTACATACAAACTTGAAGGTGGACAACAAAATTTTAGGCATAGTGTGTTCCCTATGCACCTCTTTAGTGACACTTCTTGTTAAATCCTTCTTCTCCAAATGCATGGCACATCATTGCATTATTCTGTCTTCTTGTCCCTACAACTTTTTCCATTGCTGCCTCTGCTTGGAATGCCCCAATTCTGGTTCAGGCTCCTAATTAAGACACCAAGCTTCACTAGCTTTAGGAAGTTACATTTGTGGTACTTGGTAGTCATTAATGACACTCTTAGTAACAACACATGACTGATTCCAAGATCACACCTGACTTTTTCATTCCTACAACATTATATACAACTCCTGTCCTAGCAATCACAATACTTCAATGGGCTAGCTGTTTCACACAGTTGTATCCTTTCACTATTACACTAAATATATTGAAAGCAGAGACCAAACTTACTAGATTTTTCATTTTTAACACATTACAAAGGGCCCCAAACTAGACAATCATTATTCTTTTAATTTATTAAGTCAATCGATGATAGGTACTAAGCATAATATAGTGCTATTTGTGGAAGACCGTATCGGTGGATCAATAAGGCATTTCTGCTGTGAACAGAAGCTTCCTAGCATACTACTTAAGTTATTCTTTTTAAGACAGTTTCAAAACAGAATAATATTGTAGGTTCTTATATTGATTAGATCAGAAAACTTAAGTTTCTTTGCCTGTATGTTGAGCCTGATTCAGGTGTTTTCTGGGTAAAGAAAAGCTGTTAGGGCCAGGTTGAAGTGTAGACAGCCTGTGGATGATTCAAGACAGTAAGTTTTAAGGTGCTATGAGTAATTTATTCATCTTCAAAAGCAATGGTTTTTGATAACTGAATTTCTTAATAGTATGTAGTAGAATACAGGAAATGTTTAAAAAATTGAATTGATGCTATCTTTACTCATAAGTAGTTTACAATCCAATTGAGAACATATATAAGCAAGAAACAATATATTAACCTGCTTGTCTTTGTCTTTTTGACTTTAGATGGCCAAACAAACCAAGAAGAGGATTAGTAATTTAAGAATAGAAGGTTTGGGCTGGGAAGGTGGCTCAAGTGGTAGAGCGCTAGCCTTGAGCTGAAGAGCTGAGGAACAGTGCCCAGGCCCAGAGTTCAGGCCCCACAACTGGACCCAAAAAAAAAAAAAAAAAAGAATAGAAGGTTTATGCCTATACTGATAATGTAAGATTTTTCTTACAAGTAGCTTTCATGAAGATGTTTACTACAGCTTTACTCATCAATTGCCATATATGATGCAATACGAATGCAAAATATGTAAATTCAGTCAAAATACTAGTACTTAGATATATACATAGATTCAGATCTATCTCTACACACATAAAGATGTGTGCCTGTGCATGCGTGCACGCATGCGCGCGCGTGTGCACACACACACGGCCTTAGTGGACATTTCTATATAAGGCTATTATGACCTTAGAATATAATTAGTTGTCTTAGGAAAAAAAGAAAACTTAGCAATCATGGTTCATAATTCACGTGAAGAGAAGGCAGTTTGGAATCTAACACAAAAATGAATGTAAGGACTAAGATCGTAACAGAGAATTAAGGCCAAGTCAAAGAATATGTGTTCCAAACGCTTATCGTTATAACTATTTTGGGGGGTGGGGGCTGGGGCTGGGCTTCAAACTCCGACTTCGTTTCATTTGGCTCTTTTGCTCAAGGCTGGCACTCTGTCACCTAGGTCACGTCTCTACTTCTGGCTTTTTTTTCCTGGTTACTTAAGAGGTAAGAGTCTTGAGGATTTGTCTTGGATAACTAGGAAACCAATCCTTAGATCTCAGCTTCATGAATAGCTAGGATTATAGTCATGCGCCATCAGTGAATGGCTGAGGTTGATGATATTTGAATCAAGTCAGGATTTCAGCAACCTCATGTATATCTGAAGTAGGAAGTGAATCTAAAACTGCAATGATTTTAAGCACATAAACAGCTTTCTGGGGTTTAAATTCTTTATAGCACACAAGTCTGCCGTGGTCCTCTCTCAGCAATTTATAGATTAATTTTTGTGGGTGAAAATACTGTGCAGAGGGGTTACAATTACATGGGCAAGGTAATGAGTACATTTCTTATTGTTGTCTCCTCCTTTGTTTCCCCTTCCCATCCCTTCTCCTCTCCTAGCACCCCACCCCCCCTGCCCAAGTTGTAAAGCTCGTTTTTCGATATAACGTCTTATACATCTCATTGTTGCAATGGGTCCACCTGTATCCTATTTAAACATTTTGTTTTTTCTTTTCCCCTCCACAAATATTATCAACATCAAATACAGCAACAAAGAAATCATCTTATAAATATGTTAGAAACAATTGCATGAAAAAAAAAACATTTGGTCAAACTCAATTCTTGTAGTCCAAATAAAATGAGAAACAGCAAACAGGAGGAGGCTGGTTACACTAAACAGTGGGAGTATATAAGAGATCTGATTGGCAAGAAAGCAAAACAAAACAAAACACAACAAATCCAATTTCCACTAAAGCTTAGCAATGAATTTAGTTATTAAGAATTCCAGAAAACCAGGTGCTGGTGGCTTATGCCTATAATTCTAGCTACTCAGGAGGCTGAGATCTGAGGATCGTGGTTCAAAGCCAGCCCAGGCAGGAAAGTCTGTGAGACTCTCATCTCAATAAACCATGAGAAAACCTGGAAGTGGCGCTGGGCTATGGTTCAAGTGGTACAGTGCTAGCCTTGAGCTGAAGTGCTGAGGGACAGCGCCCAGGGCCCAAAGTTCAAGCCCCATCACTGACCAAAAAAGAAGAAAAAAAAATTCCAGAAAGTCCAACAGACCCCAGAATGCCTGATGTAGATAAATATTCAGGAAAAGTTGGAGTGTGTCTTGTTTATTCTTAAGAGAAATGTATATAATTTTCTCAAGAAATTTTTTATTCAGAAGTACTATTAGTACTATTAGTATAAAGGCAGTTTTCTATTTTTTTCCACAGTACTTTTTACTACTAAGGCAAACCTATTTGTGTACTTGTTTACTCTTTTGTATTCACCTTAGAAAATGAGGTCTATCTCAAAAGGCGTTACCTTTGTAAGATGGCATACACGTGAAGTCTCATCTCATCTGTTGACAACTTTAAAGCTGGAGAGCACATTAAATGACATGTTCATTCAACAAATATTTACTGAGTTTCTATTATGTAGTTCTGAAAAAAATGCCACTGGATCACAGCTGCACCCACTCATTTACATGTAGTTTATAGCTGCTTTTGTATTATGGTGGCAGAGATGAGTCATTATGACAGAGACCATATGGTATAAAAAGCCCAAAATATTTCCTATCTGGTCCTTCACAGAAAATGTTTGTTGACTACTGTACTCTGGCACTGAGAATGAGACATCTTATGTTGCAATCTAGCTGGGACAGAGGAAACAATCACATATGCAAAGTTATCACTCTCACAAGTATTGTACTGAAAACAGATGGACAACAACCATTACCTTTTCTGATTCTCCAAATAATCCTGAAGTGTGAACAGCATTAATCCCACTGGTGGAGATAGAGCGATTTACTGGCTACTAAGTTGTAGAACCAGGTCTTAAGCCTAGGTTTTCCAACTTCACGGCTGAGCTCCTCCATCTGCACTACCCTGCCCCTGCCCCAACAATGTGCCCGCTATGCACTGTGAAACAGCAAACACTAACCACAGCACTGGCTGAAATGCTCACCTACCTGTTGCTACCACTGTCTCATCTGTTCTCTCCTAAAAATTCACTCCATATAAATTGATTACCGTGGCGCATGTGTGTGTGTGTGTGTGTTACTAGTGCTTGAACTCAGGGCTTCATACTACTCTCCCTTAGCTTTTCTGCTCAAGGTTGGCACTTCACCACTTGAGCCACACCTCACTTCCAGCTTTTTACTGGTTAGAGAAGGAGTTTCATCAACTTTTCTCCCAGGCCGGCTTTGAGCTACAATCCTTAGATCTAAGCTTCCTGAGTAGCTAGGATTATAGATGTGAGATATTTGGGCCTGGTTCTGATTAACTTTTTAAGAGTCAGGTACTTTAAAAGCTTTCCAGTAGTCACTCCAATAATACTAACATGAAAACCATGCATATACATGGGCACTGGGACACATTTTATATTTCATTTTATTTCTTACTTGGACATAGTGACTACAGTTCATTTTCAGTTGCAGATATAATAGGTATAACTTGTTTTGTTATTCTTTGTAAAACTATAATGCTGACACTAACCTCTGTACTGCATTTTTTTAAACAAGGATTTTTCAGGGAAAAATTCATTGTGGAAATACAAGGATGAAGTGTAAATGAGTCTTTAATATTTTTTATTGTAAAGATACTGTACAGAGGGGTGACAGTTACATGAGTAAGGTAATGAGTCCATTTCCTATCAAGCATTGTTACTCCCTCCTTTGTTTTTCCCCTACCATCCCTTTCCTCCCCTACCACAGTTGTAAAGTTTGTTTTCAACATGTCTTGTAAATCTCATTCTTACAGTGGGTCAACCTATATCCTTATTTCAGCATCTAAAACAAAGCTATTTTCATTTCATGAAGCTTGTTTTCAGAAAACCCTTCATTCCTACAACAAGAATTCCCTCAATCCTGAGTGTATACTAATATATTTAGTAAGACTTTATAATGTGTGAGGCTTTTCAGCAGGCTTTTATATACACACCATCTCATTAAAGATTTGGCTATAAAGTCATGGCTCTGGAGCCACACTGACAGGATGTGAACACCCATGTATCCTTTGTTATGGTCTGAATGGGTCCTCTAAAAGCTCATCGGTTACAAACTTCATCCTTAACTGGGAGGTAGAGCCAATGAGGTTACCAGGTCATAATGGCTCCAGATAATGAATGGATTAGTGTTGTTAGTGGGGAGTGAGTTCTGTGAAAATGGATTTGTTATCAAGACAACTTCAACCCTTTCTTGTTCTTTACCCACCTTGCTCCCTTTTGCCTTCTGACCTGCAATGATGTAGCACAGAGACCTTTGCCAGATGCTGACCATGCTCTTGGATTTCCCAGTGCTCAGAACTATGAACCAAATCAATTCCTGGTCACTATTAATTAACCCAGTCTGTGGTATTTGGTTAAAAAAGAAAATGAACCTTATCAGCTGTATAATCTGGACAGTTTTCTTAATGATAAAATGAGGGTTGGGTTTAAGGTACCCACTTCATATTGGGATGGTTAGAAGAAGTAGCTGATGTAAAGCACTGAAAACAGTACTTGTACATGGGAAGTATCATTTAGCCATGAGCTATTTAACCTTACCAACTCTATGTGTTAAGTACTGGTCCCAGGTTACAGAAGCAAAGCTGAGGCTGTGATGTTAAAGAACTTGCTCAAAGCCACAGAGCTAGACAGAAGCAAAACTGCAAACTAAACTGGGGTTTCTGCCATCATTATAGGTCCCTAACAGAAACCATCTAAAATAGTGAGGTACTCTGGCCTAAGATTTGTGAAACCTATCGACTGTTTAACAACTGGCTCTTCAGAAACTACAGGGTAAATTTTAGGCTCCTTATGATGCAGTCTTTTCTCAAAATAATGCAATCACAGAAGCAGAGCTCAGTTAAGTCTTTCTGTCATAAAGATTATGTAAAACCAACCATAAAATGTGTGCTTGAGACTATGGAGCTGCTCAGATTTTACCTTAGCTAGAATACCAGATGAAAATGGCGCTTAGTTGCAAGTACACCTATCTGCTTGTGCTGCAGATAGAACTGACTTCTAGTCCTTCCTTACATCTGATCTTCAGCTCAAGCCATAAAATTGTTTCCACAGACACTTGGGGACTTAATAATGCTAGAATTTCACTATTAAGGGACTGGAAAAACAAAAGAACAGAAGATATGCTAACATCATAAAGATAATCAGATTTGATTGGTTTTAGTATTTTCTGAGCAGACTGACTTTGTGTCTCAACGATTGAGGAACAAGTTACCTTAAGAGTGCTCTGAAATAACTGTGAGTCACTAAAATTAAGAGTTGCATAATAATTGGTGGCTATGCATTGTTTCCTGACTGCTGTGCTGTTAGCTGCCATTCTTCTATTATGGATGTCAGTTACACAAGCTCACGTGCTTCTCCTTTTCACTTACTCTATATTCAATTTCCTAGGACACCTCTTAGAGTGTACTTTTTTTTTGTAACCTGTTTCAGCTACCTGATATTTCTTATTAATTTTGCTAATATTTCTTATGTTTTAGGGGTAGTTCATATAGTAAACAATCCTAAACTAAAAGAATCCCACAGGCTTTTAAGAGAGCCAAGACCTGTGGCTGAGAAGAAAAGGTCAAAGGAAAACAGAATTCTCTTTTATAAATTATCTGTAAGTAGTGGTACAAAGGAGTTTATGAATACAATGAATGCATCTTAATCAATGTGACCCCTTCAACATTCTTCTTTATCCCTCCCCTGCCCATCCTCTTCCCTCACTCTTGGTGAGGGAATTCCCATGGTTGATGCCATGGGAATTCAGTCAGTGTTAGAGAAGGGAGCTGACAAGGCAAAAAGAAATCATGGTGGGTGGCTCAAGTCCAGGGTCAAACTGTGCCTCAACTGTATAGTTACATGAGTCAGTGAAGACTTGACTGTTTAAGTCTGTTTCAGCAAGATTTAAGGACCTACAGTACAAACAGCCTTAACTAATAAATCTTTCATGAACTATGAACCATTATTTGTAGCCTCTGGCAACAAGATTTTGGTACAGTAAGCAAGAAGTATTTCTCCAGGGATGAAAGTCAACAATGAGACAGTGACTAGAAATCTTGGTGAGCATAACCTGCCACAGATGCTGTATTCATTACTTTATTTCCACTTATTTGTGCTTCTTAAGAGGCCTGTATTATCTTAGAGATCTGTAGCAGTATCATATGTACCACCTAAAACCTGCTATTGATATGTATGCAGAATATAAAACAACAACAAAAAAATCTTAAATCCAAGATTTGAGTTTAAAATGAAACTAAGTATAGGGGAAACAAAACAAGAAGTTCTCTGTTTTAGAGGGTATGAAATAAATACTTTTAGAATGCTGCCTTTTTTCTCAGTGTTATATGCTACTTCTTTTCCAATTCTCTCTATAGTAAAAACTATTACAGTAAGGCATATAATATAAATGTATTTACATGTAAATATATCACACATATATCTATGGCACTACCCGGGATTCAACTCAAGGCTTTATGTATTGCTTGGGCAGGGGCCTACCACTGCATTCTTTTGTTTTAGTATTTGGTTGAGGCCTTCCACTGTAGCCTGGGGCCAGCCTAGACTGATCATCCTACCTACAGTCTCTTGTGTATAGCTAGGATCACAGAGGCACACCACTTTGTCTGGCTTACTGATTGAGAAGGAGTCTCCTTAACTTTTTGCCTGAGGTGGCCTCAAACTGAGATCCTTTGATCTTTACCTCTTGAGTAGTTGGGATTACAGTTCTGAGCCACTTCTAGTTAGACTAGCTATTTTAAGTAACAGTGTTCTAGATCTTAATTTTGGATAATGCCTCTAGCTTACTACTGTCTTTGTAGCTATACATAATTCAAATAACAAGCAAGTAGTTAGCTTATATAGTTACACTGTAATGAGAGGAACAAAGCAATAAAAATGAACAATTGACCTCACCTTTGAAAGAAGCAATTTCACACAGGAAACATGACCCTCGTAGACAGCAGACAGAAGAGGAGTAATATGATGTTTATCTGGAGCCTATGAAGTGACAAAAAGAATTTTACAAGATCTTTTTAGATCTAATTCAAGAACTTACCAACATTTTAAAATCTGTAAATACCTACTTGCCTTTCTATACCACAATTACTCCATAGGGATAAATTTGTGGAATCAAGAGAGTTGACAAAAAGCATAAATCCACAAGAAGCAATGTTTCTGTGGGAATCCGTGGAGGGGAACTCTAACCTCAGCTCACTTACTATGTCACTACTTCAGTAGTTTCTTTGAGCCTAAGTGTCTTACAAGCATAGAAATGCCAATGTGAATGAGGATGAGCAGTCAGGGGCCAAACACAGGCAGAGGCAGGGACAAGAGAACTACAACCATGAGAACTACAAACTGAAAAAGTACATCTCTCCTGCTGTCAAGGTTACTAGTTCCAAAACTGAAATACAGAAGACACACAGGGCTAAAGTCAGGAGGTAAGCACTCCTGCCTCATCACTTGCTCTTCTACCTTTATACTATTCTCCAGATTAGATGGAGCCTTGGACTTCAAGTCCTATACGCCGCTACATGACCTATGCTACCTACAGACGGCGGTCATTTCCCAAGCTTTAGAAACTGAAAGGGTATGGCCACGAGGGAATCAACAAACCCTCAGTTTATCAACTTCAAAAAGTCAGTCTGTTTGGCTGGGTTTTAAAACCCCAACTATGTATTTCTAAGTTACAAATAATTTGGTTATCATTTTGGACTACGTTATTTAAGGCAGTCTTCCTTAAACACTGCTCTTCTGTATTCATGTATGCCTTATACATACATTAATATCTGCTCCTTTCAGCAGCAGAAACTCCAAGATTTCCAGCTGTCCACAGTCTGCTGCATAGTGAAGAGGCTTCCTTCCACCTTCTAGTGTCCGGTTGACATCTTCTCCCTTGTAATGACAAGTCAAATAAAATCAATACTTAGATGGATGGAAGTCTAAAGAAAGGGAAGGGGGGAACTAATGTTTTTAAGACACTGAATTTCATGAAGCAATTATATTTCTTGCAAATTCAAATGAACAAAAACTTGAAGAGTTCACATAATAACACACAGTATAACTATAATTTGAGTCCTAACTGGTTAACATAAATAGAGATATTCGATGTTTAAGCTTTCTTATACTTATTTAACAAAGGGGACTGACTGCACTGGAAGGCCTGCCTGTGTGACTGACAGAAACAAAAGATTCTCACATGCAGGGACGCTGCAAAACACTTCAGAAGTTTACTGCAATAAATGTTTATGTTAGAAAAGTAAAAGGACAAGTTAGTGGTCTTTCATTAAGATAAATCAGATTAAAAAAAAAAACACAGGCAAAGCAAGCAAGAGAAAGATCAGAGCAGCAAACTAACAGAAAAATATGGGGAAAAACTGACTCAAGATAATCAACACAACTGACAAGATCTTAAGAATGAAGACACAGGGTGTCAGTATCAGGTCCCACAGATCACCTTCCCACCAAGAACGCTCTAGGCCCCAAATGATTCACTGCCAAATTCTACCAAATACCTAAGGAAGACCAATATTAACGCTATACAGAATTACAGAAAACAGGAGATCCATTCTAAGATCAGCATTATTCTTATTTTAAAACAGATACTACGAGAAAAGAGTCCCTCTGAGCATCGTGGGCCCTGTGAAGAACTCCTCCTTCTATCCAATGCAATTTCCCTAGTTACTTAATCTTACCTAACTTCTCACTGCCCATTTAAGTTCTACTTTTACCTAGAGAGGTGGTATTAACTTGTGGAAAAACACCAGGCAGGATGGAGAATCTTTTCGCAGCTAAAGGTGATTTGGATATTTCTAACATCACTCGGAGGCCATACAAAATTATCAATACGAGCGCACAGGCAGCTGACAAGCAGCACAGGTGTGTGTTTCACTTATGTGTTCAATGACTTTATGGGACTTCTATGGTCCTTAGGCTGGAAGCTCCTTCCAGTGCTAGGCTCCAGCTGTTACTGCTATACCCACTCCAGGCTGATATTAAGCTTGACTTGGTGGGCCTTGGGTTTCTTCATGGCAAAACAAACAACAAAAATTGGCTGTTGTAACTTCCCTGTCTTTTGAGAATTTGTGTGTGTGCATTTTATACTTTTAATGTCACCTACCCCCATTCTAGATTAGGAAAATAGGTTTTTATTTTTGCATTTGTAGCTACAAAAACAGAGTACTCAAAAGAATCATAAATGGAAGCTACACCACTAAGAAAACCCAAGCTTCCATGAGATACTGGTATGAAATTATCTGGCTTTTAAAAGATGGTGACAATTCATGGACTTTCTTCACCTTGTTCTATCTGTCTCCCCTACTTTAACTCATTTTACTATAGAATATAAACATGCTCACATATATGTGACATATCTGTAATAGCTGCATACTTCCTCTTTAATTCTAGTGCATTTGATATACATTTCAAAAGAGTGATTTCTGACAGGCCTACATTGTACTAGATTGTTTATAGGAATAATAAACACGCACCTTGAAAAGCATTCTTTGTACTATTTCTAAATGAAATGGGTACCTGACACTGCTGAGAACTCTTTTAAGGCTATTCTTCAAGAGAAAAGAAAAATAATTCTCTTCCTTTGATCTTCAAGGTGTGTACTCATCCATACAATTGAGTTCTAAGGCCAAGTACATACTGTACTGTCACAGAGACCAGAGCCCTCCCAAAGCTACTAACAAACAGCAGATTAAATTAGCATATGTGATCATTTCATAGCACAGCATGTAAGTACTGGTCATCTGATAGGAGAAAGCAGCAAATGTATTAAATACACCAACATCTGCAAGAGTCAATTTCCCATTTAGCTAGATGTGAGTCAAGATTGCAGTGCTTAGTATTTTTCAAATAGTAGGTTTTCTTCGTTTTTTTTTTTTCCTCTGGGAAGAATACTGTGGTCCTTCTTTCCTTGTTTTTGCCTTGACATTTCATTTTCCAACTCTTACTTCTCAACATCGCCCCTGACCAACCCTCCTTCCCCCCTCCCCAGTGCCCTCACTAACAGCCCCATTTCAGAGTAACTTTGCAAAAATCACGTACCACTGTACTGGTGACAAGCAACAGTGTCCAAATTACAACAAATTCACATGCTTTGATAATTTTGTTTGGAACTTTACAACAGAAAACAAATGGCTTAACCAAAAGGAAGATCTGAGAAATATAAAAATCAACCCACTTTTATTTTCTAACATTAATTTTTTTTAACATAGCTGTGTATGTTCTTAACAAAATATACAGCTGCTTATAGATTTTAATCATATGAAAGAAAATAATTTAGAAACCTTACAATGATCTTATTTGCTATGTTTCTGTATACCTGATTGAACCTCTGAAGAAAATCCATCCTCAACAGTATTATTCCAATTGCATTTACCCTTATCCAACACAGTAGCTGGCACTGTAGATGTTCAAATGGTATTTGCTGAATAAACTATGAATGAACCAGTGAAAACTGCTAACTAGCTAGCCTTGTCTTTTATGTATGCTGTTGGAAACCAAGGCAGTCATGAGACTGGCAGGACAGCTGGGGAGGAAATTCTGGAACATTTCTGGCAGACATTTTGATAGTTGGAAAGTTTTTCTAGAAATTCCTTTCAGTTTAAAAATCATTTTAGAGAAAACTTTGCAACAACAAATAGAACTGTGTTACAAAGAACTGAGTTTGCAGGAAGGAATCTTCCAGTCTTACTGGTACACTTTTATATTGTGAGAAGTAATGTGCTAGTAATTGTAGGGTTTAATACTGTTTCACTAATGCTACTGAAAAAGTAGTGATGATTCCTATTTTTCACAGGACTATAAAGCTTTTAAGTCAGACAGACATGGCTAAAAAAGTTCTAAAATTCTAAAATGATAGTCAAGAGAGTTACAAATGGAAGCTAGCTTTACATTTACAAAAATATTGTCACAACAGCCAGTTGCCAGTGGCTCATACCTGTAAACCTAACTACTCAGGAGGCTGGGATCCAAGGATTGTGGTTAGAAGCCAGAGTGCTGGGCAGCAAAGTCTGTGAGACTTTTTTAAAATCTCCACAGCTGGGGCTCAAGGGTCTATAGGCTTGAGCAAAGAAGTTCAGGAACAGTGTCCAGGTCCTCCGGGTTCAAGACCCAGGACTGGCGCACGCACACGCGCGCGCGCGCGCACACACACACACAGACACCCCTCCACAACAACAGTGTGGAAAGCTGGATAAAGTTTGAGTTTTCAGAAGTAGGGAATATTCTTTCTGCTAAGAGACATCATTTGAGGGCCATACAAAATTATCAATACAGGCAGACAGCCTTGGGCAGCTGGTGAGAATCACATGTGTCTGTCTTGTTAGATAGAAAATGATTTGCCAAATAAAGATACTAAGAGTAGTTCCTAGAATTACTGGGCAGGTTGGAGAAATGGACAAGAAGCAAGGAGGCTTAACAGCAAGAAATAAAAAAAAAATCAAACATGGCGCCCAAATTATGTAGCCACAGACGACTGTACTACTGATGCTTTTGTAGTCTCCTGTTTCTTTTCCATTTCTCCAATTAACCACCAAAAGCTGGAGGTGCAGATGAACCTGAGTTCATGCCCCAGTCTACACACTGCGTGCGCACACATACATATATACATATGCACGCGCGCACGCACACACACACACATGCACGCACGCACTCAGCAGTGTTGTGGTTTGTTCTCCAAAGACCCGTGTACTGAAAGCTTGAATCAATGTGGTGATGGGGACTGAACTTTAAAGGTGGAGCCTAGGTAGGAGGTCCTTGGATTCACTTTGGGTACTGTCCTTGAAATGGTAATATGGTTAAGTCCATGCTCTCTCCTGCCTCTTGTCTGGCTTTGTGATTGCTTGTTCCCACACGTACTCTCACCAATGCCTTGTGCACTAATGTGGCACAGCAAAGAGGACCTCCACTAGAAATGAGCCGTTACGTTAGCCCCATGTCCTTGAACGTCAAGGAGCTGGAACTAAGTAAGCCTCTGAACAAGTGGGTGTGGCCTCACGTGTTTTATTTCAGAAATGAACAAGTGACTGATTCAAGCAGAAACTTACCGAACAGGTGGAGTAAAGCCTGAAAGATTATGCCAGGATAGGTTAGCATCCAGTATCCCATGATTTATTAGAAAACAAAATATTGTGGTAGGGGAAAAAAATACCCATTCATGGTAAGGAAAACAGAATAAAATTTCTAGTTCTAATTGACAAGGATCTGGTCAAGACCTTTGACATCCCATTTTTTCTTATCTACAAAATAAGTTAGATTAGGCCATCTTTAAAGTTTTGTTTCTAAACAAATTTGTGGTTATAAATGATAGCTAAGAATTACTGAACTCACCATATGCCAGGCATGTAATTACAGAATGTAATTTAACAAATTACATTCCTATTTCATGACTGACTTCAGAATAAAGAATAGAAGGGGCAGAATAGCCAAGTTACAAGACTGTTTAAAGCAAAGTAACTATAGTTGAGACAAAACTCGGAATAACATTTGCAAGCCCCAGGAAAATGTTTACAGGGCTTGTACAAATCTATTTAAAAAAAACAATAGGCCAATTACCTATTAGAAAGTGAAGAAAGATTTAAATGTGAAACTTGAAAAATACAAATGACTAGTAAAGCTCTGTAATGTTCAACCTCTTTTTTAAAAAAAATGCAAACTGAAACAACGCATCATTTTTTACCTAAGCAGCAAAATTAAAAAGCTAAATGGTGTGAATGAACTATCAGTCTCATGTGCTGATGTGTATCTAAATCCTTGAATATTATCAAATGTAATAGAGATGTATTTTCAAAACTTAAGATCTATTGATTGATAGACTGTCACTATAATATTAATAGCAAAAAATAAACTGGAAACAATGTTTACCAAAGAGAATCAGTGCGATA